TAAAATCTGATAGAAACCTGACTCTAAGTCAATGGCCGAGAAATATTTCGCTTTACCTAAATTGGCAAGGATTACTGAAGGATCTTGCATAGGGTATCTATCCGGTATAGTGTTTTCATTAAGTTTCTTAAAGTCTATTACTAATCTATGCTTAGGAGTTCCGTCCTCATTTACTCCCTTCTTTGGTACTACTATTACCGGTGAATTATATGGGCTTTTACTAGGTCTGATTATACCTTCATCTAACATTTTACTTATTTCGTTATTAACGAAATCGTTAACCGAATAAGCGTATGGATACTGCTTGCCATATACCGGTCTATCGTGTTCAGTGTTAATCTCTCCTTTTATATCCGTTCTGAACGGTAACTGTAAATTTATATTGGCATGGTCTTCTTCGATGATAGATACCATTTTCTCTCTGAGATTTTCTAAATTGTCCTCTTTGTAGGTTATTGTGTTATACAATTTCATTTTTTTCAATTCAGAATTTGCATAATTTTGAATGTCGGATATTTCTACGACGGCGCGTTCAGGATTTTTGCATCCCAAACTTTTAAATTGTTTATTGTCGGATAATTCAACGACGGCGTGTTCAGGATTCTTTAATCCCAAACTATTCGAACTTTTAGTGTCGGATAATTCAACGACGGCGTGCTCAGGATATTTTAATCCCAAACTATTAAAACTTTGGATGTCGGATAATTCAACGACGGCGGGCTCAGGATATTTGAATCCCAAACTATTGACGGATAATTCTTCGTCGGCGTGCTCAGGATTTTTTGATCCCAAGCTATATAAACTTCCTTCTACCTTTACTGAATCGCTTTTCATTTCTTTTTCTTCTTCAAAATATTTTTTTATTATATATTCCTTCAACGGAAGGATGGTTTTTCCTTCTATAAAGGTTAATTTGTTTAAAGAAAGGACCTCGTCATATATTAGTTTCTCCTCATTGTCTTTATAACTTAAAGTCCCCTTTCCTGTATCAATAACCGCTCCGATTTTCTTTAATAGGTTAAATCCTATTAGTAAATCTGCCTCCATTCCATCTATTTCATAAAACACTTGCTTTGTGTTGAAAATTGTTATATTATGGAAATATTTAATTATTGAAAACCCATTCACTGTAGCAACTTTCTTATAGATTGGTAATTCATTTTTATTGTCGTAAATTCCTTTTTTTATATAACAGGAAGTTGCTCCCGTATCTATCAAAACTTTTAATTCTCTGTTTATTTTTTTGTCTACTCTTTTTAGGTAGGGCAGACCTACTTCGGGGGCTGATCTAAAAAATGATCCTCCTCAATGTTATTTATCCTCATTGCTTTATTAGCCGGTTGTTCCGACATTTCGTTTAGTTTTCGTTTCTGCGCTGGATTGTCGTTAGACTGATTATTCGGGACTACGTTTGCCCTAAAATGCTGGGCTTGGCTATAATTGTTATTATTTCTCCTAAAATAACCGTTAGTATTCTCCCGATAATTTCTATTGTTATTATTTCCCCTGAATTGATTGCTGTTCTGTCGGTTCCGGATTTGTATAGATTCGTCTACCTCCATTGGTTCTGGGGCCTGATTTTGTTGTCTATTACCCAAGAAATAGGGTTGTCCCCAAGACATGTTATTCCTCTGCAAATCCCTTTTTTGGTCGAATGGTGAACTGTTAGTCCTAGGTTGTCGTTGGTTGAATCTTAAGGTATTAAAATTATTATTCCCTGAATTTCTGGGACCGCTGAATTGGTAGGCAAATTGGGCCCGAATGTTATTAGATTGCAATTCCTGTACCTTTGCTAAGGCATTCGGTAAATCTGGGGGATTCAATGAAAATAGGATTTCAGCAATGCCGCCGTTTAGGCCAGTGACAAAAATGCGTAAGGCATTGTCTCTAATTTTTTTATTTGATTCCTTGGTGATCTCACTGTCCTTTCCGTGAGTCATTATTGTCTTATTTATTAACAAGGTCATTTTCTTGTTAACCTCGTTATAGAAATCTATAATTGAAAGGTTCCCTTGTCGGAGAACGCTTAATTCCTGTTCTATTATGTAAATAGGTCTCTTGTCACTGTAAACAAAGTCAAGCCGTGAAAGTATGGCATCAAAATTTAGAACTGTCCCGTGGTTGGTCAGTGCGTCATGTGCTGGTCCTGTTATTTTGTTTCTCAAAATTGTTAATGCAATATAATATTGCTTACTTCCTTTCTTATATAACTTCACTGCAGTTTCTGCAGCTTCCCTCCATCCTACATATTGGTTTAATCCACCATTAAAAATTGGTAGGGATTCTATTACCTTCAATGTGGTGTCGTCTCTTATTGTCTCGTCTATTGTTTCTGCCTGATAATCCGATACCTGATCGGATTTAGTTTCTATTTGCTGTTTTAAATTTACAATTTGCTCTTGTACTTGTGAAATTTGAAGTGCTATCAATTGTTTGACCAGATCTGCTGTGAGATCGGTCCTTGCTTGAGAGTTAATCATTTTTAGTTTTTCAAAATCTAAAGTTAGCTGATCCACTTTTAATTTTTCTTATATGTTAGTTTTTATAATCTTATATATCCTAATTGAACTTATATATTTATTAATACAACTCTTGCTCACGAAATATCCGGTAGGGGTCGTCCTTCTTAGTTTGGCAGATCTTCGAACGGGTCTTCCTTCTTAAATTTCTTTGCTCAGCTGGGTCTTCTGGGGGTCTTCCTTCTTTGGCTTCGCTGATCGTTTCACTTTCTTTGTATTTTGGTTTTGTCGGTTTTGTTGGTTTTGTTTTTTTAAAAACTTTGGGTTTCTTTGGTTTTTTTTGTATTTACGAATTGCCTTGATTAGCTTTTTGTTTTATTTGTATTTTGCGTTGTATTTGTATTTGTATTTGTATTTGTATTTGTATTTGTATTTGTATTTGTTTTTGCACACCCTAAGCTCCGGTTTGTTTCCTTTTTATCTCACTTTTTTTTATCTATATCACACAGTCACTCCGCGTTTTTAATTTTGAAGGATTTATTCCATTAATTAATTGTCCTTCGGGTTTCGGCACGACGCAACACTTTTATCATTCGGTGCTTTTTAGACAACGTCGCCCCACGTTGGGCGCCAATTAAACAACTGCGGTAGCGGATTGTGTTTTTAAAAAGTTTTTATTTTACTTCGAACTTCACTGATATAGATTTAAGTAGAGGGTCACAAAGGAATTCCGGGCCAAGGGATTGCGCGATCTTAATATTTAGCTAGACTTTGCGGTGTCGCTGCTGGATCAAGACTGATTTGAACTTTCTGATCTTTGCATCGTTGATCCCTTTCGGGAATCGTTTTTCTATAAACATTTCAATTGATTTCGCCATCCCGAGTATTGGATTTCGTCATCCAAAGAGAGAACTGTAAAAGGCCTAAAGTGCAGGATCTGCAGAAAGCCGGGAGTGAGATTGTTTATGAGAAGCCGGGTGTGGGCAAACATTGGTTTTCCATTTAGGCGAGTGTCAAAGATTGGGGTTGCGGCGGGGGCGCTTGAGATTGTACATCTTAGAAATCAATTAGGCGGAGGCCCAAGATTGAAATTGTTTTCGTTTTGGAAAGCCAAAGATTGTTTACAACTCGTATAAGAGCTCAATGGAATTGGGTACGTTAACTTGCACATGTACGCATTGCCCATCCCTCCTAGAGCCCCTTTCCGCACCGTTCCACTATTTCGTAACTGGTTGTGAATTTTTGCATTCCTGAACTTGAATTGCATTTGGAATTTGTTCCACGCACATTTCCATTTCCGTTCATTCACCTTTTACGCTTTATGAAAAGAGAGAGATAGAGAGCTTTGGAAGAATGGATGGAGAATCAGAAGACATGGTTGAGCGGAAGGACGGGTATAGGTGGTTAAGTGTGGCGCATCGTACGTAATGGAAACAACAATCGTATGAGAAGCTTGTAATCGATAGTTCGATGAGTTGTTTTATATTTTGTTCCTTTGGAAGGACAATCGTAATAGAATCGGCGCGAATATGGGAGCAGAAGATGGAAGGATAAGATGATTAAGGAACGCTGTTAATGAATAAGAAGGGTCGAAGGACGTTCTGGATATAGAATAGAAGGATGAATACGTACATATGTACATATGTATGTATGTATGATTATAGTTCGATAACTTGTTAGGAATAATTGATCGCTTTCATTCCAATTTCATCGATTGTCAAAGTTTACTTGATTTCTCCACTCCCTCTCACCACTAAAAATCACATTTTGTAGACGGAGAGAGAGAGGGAGAGGACCAGAGACAATGAATTATCGTTCTTTTATGTGCTTTGTGTTACCGTCTTCCGCTCTCCGAACCCCCCTACCCTTCTCTGGTTCTTTGTCATAGATATATGTACATACATACATATGTATATATGTACATATGTAGAGTTTTATTTCATTTCGTTTCGTTACGATTTTTGTTCTATTATTATTTGTGTGTGTCTCTCTCTGTCACTCTATGTCTTTCTGTGTGTGTGCCTGTGTGTGAATGTTATTTTTTAGTTTCGACTTGTTTTCTTTTGTGTAATTTTATTTTCGGGTTCGTAGTATATCTGTGTGTTAGTGTGTGTATCAAGTTCATAAACTTTTTGTATGCGGCAACAGCAGTAAGAATTGCTTTTTCTTGTTTCTGGAATGAACACAATAAATACATACATATGTATGTACATATGTCCAAATGTGTGTACGAGTGTACATTTCTACGTATGTGTGTGTGTATGAGTGTACATATGTATGCAGGCACTCGGGGAGTGTAGGGGAGTAAAAGAGAAGCAGCAACTATTGTGGTTGTCACTGTTCTGTGAATGTGTGTACAAATGTATATTGTACACATGTATGTATGTATATGTGCATGTTTCTTAGTTGTTAACTTTTTATTTAGTTTTCTTGTGCGTTTTGGGTTTCCATCTTTCTTCAAAGTAAGCTCCATATCATATTCTGTTTTGTGCACACTTTTTTTTCGTTTCATTGTTAATAAATAGTTTTCTTTCGTTTCAGTTTACAATCCACTGCCAGGCAATTCAGTCGGGGACCATTGGCTCCATCAATCTGTTCCTCTGCAACACTTGTTGCTCTTCTCCTTACCAACGAAACCACGCAGTATCGTGCGGAGAGAGGCGTCTGGAGCGTGAGGGTGACAACTCTGACATGCATTGGGCTGGAAGCTGGTCACACTCAACTCTTCCGCTCGAACAGCTAACGACGAAAACACCAGCAGTATCAGCATCCATCTGAGAAGGAGACGGAACCGCAGACCTGGAGTGGAGTGCATTCAACATGGACGACGAGCTATGTCGTATCTGCATCGGCTCTCACGCGAGCGGCAGTCCCATGAAAATGATTTCAATATTCGGCGAGGACTTGCTCTGGCAGAAAATAACCACAATAGCCGACGTCCAGGTGAGAGCGGAGTAGGCTTAACTGAGAGAGCGCTTCTAGTAGCTTGATGGGGTAGTGTAACGGAATCTGTGAGATGTTACAAATTCAGCCAGTTTTCTTTGTCGCTATTTGATCGGCAAGGGCCTAAATTCTCTATTCCTTGAGTATCAGGTACCAAAGGCTCTTCAGTTTACCATTGTGTTACTAATTGCATTAAGTATATTAATTAATATTAAATAATTATTACATCCTTTTCAAGCTGATTATTACGCATATCAAGTTACATTTTAAGCCGCTTTCTATACCCGGTACGTTTCCGGAAACGTTTCCAATCCCATAAATGTATATATATATATGTACATATGTACAGTGGCGAGCACATGTGGATACATGGTTATCACTTTTCAGTTTAAACGCGAGAATGACTATATCTTCCAGACTGCAGGATCTGAGCCAGATCGTATAATTATTATAGCCAGAATGATGAAAACAATTTAATTTTTTCTCGCTCTGTCTCTCTCTAACACACACGTTTCATGGTCGGCTTTGCCTATTGCAAAAAGTGAGCGTCTAGATCTCAGAGACTATAAGAGCTAGAGCAACCAAATTTGGTATCCACAATCCTATGTTATCGAACCTGCACAAGTGTATTTCAAAATTTCACCCCACCCTCTTCCGCCCCCACACAGGACGAAAATGTGTGGCATCCACAAAATTGAAGATGCGAGAAAACTAAAAACGCACATTCATAAAGAATGACCGTATCTACCAGATTGCAGAATCTAGATCAGTTCGTATCATTTTCATAGCCATAAGGTACAAATCAATTTGCAGTGGCTACGCAGCGCCCGACGACATGTTCAGACACGTTTTCTGTCTCTCCCGCACGCACACATTGTCGCTCAATGCAGCCATACTGACTATGTACATATGTGTCGGGTATAAATGTAGAGTTGCGGTCGCAGCAGCAACTCGCAACGTTCCCATTCGTTGTTTTCATATATTCTTTCATTTAGTGAGAAAGAAAAAAGAGAATAATTTCAATTCGAAGAGAGCCCTTTCCTTAAGAGATTTAATTTTTTTCGAAAAAAGTCCATGTATCCACTTTTGCACGTTTCAAATTTTGTTACTTTCATAATTTTTTTTAAATATTTGTTCCAAAAGGCCTTAGCTTCGAATATGTTTTGGCATACTCTCGACTAAAGGTGTCATACGCCACTCCGACTGCACGCGCTCCCAAAGACTCATCCAATCCCTTTGGTGCAGACTCGTACTTTTCCAATGTTTTTTAAACAGAAATCGATTTTTCAATGGGATTTATATCTGGGCCATTCAGCAGGCCACTGGATTAAGTGATAACTCGAGTTATTGGGACGATTTTTCACGAACTTAGCCGTGTGGGTCCGGCTACCATCTTGCTGGAAAGTGATCTCGGATATGGGGAAGATACATTTGTCTATAAAATTTGACAAAATGGGTTCCAAAATATGAAGATAATATTTTTTCTTCAATATTCCATCGATTTTAGCCAATTGGAGAAATGTATAATAAAGGTTACAAAATAGACCGTTAATCGATAGTCATCTTTCTTATAGAAGGAAATGTTAAAGGAAAACATAACATATACAAATTCAAAAAAATACCAAAAAGGGATCTTTTGCTTATTTTAATAGGTTTTCAGATCATTGTTACTGAAGATTGAAATACATATGTCAATTGGTTAATTAGCTTAATTTACATATTCTTCGAAAATAATATCGGGACGGAGCTATGTATATAGAAACGAGGGGGAACGTTTTGAGTTGCTGATGCGATCGCAACTCTACATACTACCCGATACAGCAGTATACAGACTTCTGTGATATGTCACTGTTACAAGTATATTTCAAAACATCGCCCCGCCCACTTCCTCCCCCACAAAGGACGAAAATCTGTGGCATCCACAATTTTAAGGATACGAGAAAACCAAAAACGCAGAATCGTCGAGAATGACCATATCTTCTAGAACGCAGAATCTGAATTGGATCGTATCATTATTATAGCTAGAATGAAGAAAACAACTTCATTTTTTCTCGCACTGTCTCTCTCTAACTCACACGTAGCATAGGCGGCTTTGCTTAGAGTAAAACATTAGCGCCTAGATCTCAGAGACTATAAAAGCTAGAGCAACCAAATGTGGTATCCACACTCCTAAGATATCGGACCGAGACGAGTTTGTTTCACCACACCCCTTCCGCCCCGCAAAGGACGAAAATCTGTGGCAACCACAATTTTAACGATAGGAGAAAAGAATGGCCATATCTACCAGATTGCCGAATCTTGCCGAATCCGAATCAGATCGGATTATTATTGTAGCCAAAAGCAACAAATCAATTTTCAGTGGCTACGCAGCGCCCGACGTCACGCTCAGACTGATTTTCTGTCTCTCTCGCACGCACTCTTTGTCGTGTCGCTTAATATTAGCGGCGTCTGCCGGAGGAGAGCCATACTGACTTAGTATCGGGTATAACTGTAGAGTTGCGGTGTACGCAGCAACTCACAACGTTCCCCCTCGTTTTTTGTTGCATAGGCAACATAGGCCTATACCATAGGCTAGGGTAAGAGGCCTTCCTCTGTCGCTAGTCACACAGCGAGCCCCAAAATTCGCACTTCCATACATTCTCTGCATTAAGGGCACACGTATGTACGTACATATGTATGTAATAATATATGTATGTATGTACGGTATGTATGTGCATATGTACATATGAATATGGATTGTGTACGTGCGTAACCCAAGACTATGTGCAATAAAAATGTCTCACCTTCGTGGAATATCAAAATCCAAAGAAAACCAAATACTGGGAAGTTATTTACAAGCTGTGTTTATTATTCATTCATATTAGTTTTCACATGTGCATGTGCACCTTTGTACATACATACATATGTATGCACATATATAGTTTGGCATCAGTTTTCATGGCTTGTATTTTCTTACGCTGTACTCTTCCCACCCTCGTTCGCACTCCCCCAACGGCAACTTTTGGTCATTTTTGTGTATTTGTTCGTTTCGGTTTCGGTTTTGGTTTCGGTCTGGGTTGGCTTCGATTTCGTCTTTGCTTATTTTATAGAATTGTCTGTTTTTATACCCGATACTCAAAATGAGTATATGTATGTATGTACATAGGGGTATATTAGATTTATTTTTTTGTTTTTTTATCTACATATGTATGTACATACTATGTACATAGGTATGTAAATATGTATGTACATATGTATGTATTTCTTACTTTTCGTCTTGTGTCTTTTGTGTCTTAAAACTTAAAATTTCTTATTTCTTGGTTTCGTCTCTTTGGCTTTGGCATTTGTAAAATCATTTACCGTTTCAATTGCTATTTGTGTGTGCTTCCACTAATTTTCCTCTTCTTCTCGCACACGTATGTACACACATACATACATATGTACATATGCATGTGTTTCTTTGGCATTTTGTTTTGCGTGTGTCGTTTGTATGTATAATTCATATGTTTGGCTTAATTCCATAAATTTGTATTTTCCAAGAGAGCCATGCCTTCTGTCTTCCTCCTCTCTCTTTCTCCTTCTCTCTCGCTCTCTCGCTCTTGTTCTTCGCCCTCCCTTCTCCTGTTTCCTACTTTACGTTAGAGTTGACTCCAGCTTAGACGTTCGTTGGCCCCGACCACTTCAGTGCACTGGGTGGCGTACGTGCTAATACATACATACACACGTCGGCATAAGTATTTTGACAAAGCTCTACGCAACGTTTAGCGTTGAATTTTGACGAATTGCTACTTGTTACAGCTCTCTTATCTGATTTACCGCTAACTACATGAATGCATAAAGTATATTGAAAATTATCTTCGTAGTTGCATTTTGCGTTTTGTTAATATGCTTCTTATTCTCATTCGTAATCTGATCTTGGCTGGACAAAAGTATTTTGTCAGAACTTCAATTAATTTGCATTGATCTGCTGTTGATAGAAAGCGAAACCATTATTACGGATTATCTCAGTTTAGAGATTGTAAATGCTGATAAAAATTGTTTTCGTTCAATAATTTGTGAAATATGAGTAACCGAAAGGAATTCAGTGAATCTCTTAAAAATGAAATAATAGTGAAGTTCAACTCTGGTATTTCAGTGCAAAATATCAGTAGATTATAGTATATTTCACGTCAGACAAACTGCTATAAAAAAACAAATTTAAAAAAACCAACACTGCTAAAAACTCTACACGTTGTGGCAGACCACGAAAGAAAACTGCCAAGGTAGACACTTTTAGTTTGCGGCAATTTAAGCAGGATGTCTTGAAAACTCCTCGATCGGTTGCCAATGACTTGAAGGAAACAGGAAATTTTGATGTCAGCGAACGGACAATACGTAGAGGTCTTAAGGAAACTGATTTTTGAACATATATTATCAGAGCTTTAGTGCAAATAACACAGCGCAATAATTTAAAGCGCCTTGAGTTTGCCAAAAAATTAATCGGCAAATAATTTTAATTTTGGAAAAATTTTTTATGGAGCGATGCCAGTGCTTTTCAGTTTCACGGCTCAAAAAAAAATCGTTTTCGTAAGAAACCTAAAAGAACGTCGCAAAAAAGTGGCACCTATATGTGTAAGAGCGATCCATGGAGGTGGGACCATAATGTTTTATGGATGCGTCGCCTACAACGGCTCGCGAAATTTAGTTCCTGTTGATGGTAGCATGAATAAAGACAAATATTTGGAAGTGCTAAACAATCACGCTTTCTCCTCTGGAGATAATTTTATTGGGGAGTCCTTTACCTTTAAACAGGACAACGCACCGTGTCATAAAGCTAAAGTCGTTACCCAATTCTTGAAGAACATTGGGGTTAATACTTTGGACTAGCCGCCCCAGAGCCCAGACTTAAACATTATCGAGAATCTCTGGTCTTATATAAAAAGAAACCGGACTCCAAATTTGACAAGGAACCGTAAGAATATAATCTGAGAGGTGAAATCACTCTGGAGAGAAATTCTGCTGGCTTATATCCACAGCTTAGTAGAGTCAGTTCCGAGACGTCTGCAAAAGGTGATAGAGGCAAAGGGAGGATATATATTTTACTGATTCATCATATAAAGTTAGTTCGTTCCATTAGTTTTTTTTTTTTTTTACATTTTATAAAATGTCAAAATACTTATGCCACCGTCTGTTTGGGAATAATTAATTTTCATTTCACAATAAACCCACTTATCATACTTTTTTTACATATTGTTAATAGCTTAATATAATACCTATCTACGATAAATAAATATAGTTTCTACTTTGAAAAAATAAGAAGTTACAACCGAATATGTTGTGCATAATTTTTGTCAAAATACTTATGCCGATGTGTGTACATACATACATATACATTTATACACATACGTATGTAGAGTTGCGGCGAAATAATTACACTGTTAGGTTCAACAGTTTTATTGTTAGAAAATATGGTCACTATCCAACACTTGGTGCGCTTTGCTTCAATATAATGAAGGTTTACATGTCTCCTCTCTGCGAGAAGTGCGTTTACTCCAATGTCAGTTTACAATTCTAACGGATCTTATTAATTTAGGCTATTTTCCGAAAAAGGTCCAAAATGGAACGCTAACAAAAAAAGCGCTAACAAATTAAAACCTTAACTTTTCGGAGCTTTTTGATATTTTAATCATGCAATTTTGCAAGAAAGTTGCCAAATATAAGTTCAGTAGGGTCCGGTTATAAGGACACTCAAGGGACCGACGTTATACCCGGAAGACGCTCTAACCGAAAGGAGAAACCAAATATATGTTTTTATTTATTTTATGGTTGCCATGTTCGTATTAGGTTTTTAAAAAGAAAAAAAATTTAATTCAATAACATGTTTTTTTTCATAAAAACTCATATATGTACATATACATACATAATTCATAATATACCAAGATTATTTTCTATGTGTGGTTTTTCTCTTTATTCTTATTTTAAATAATCAGTAATTTTTGATTGCTTAGCAGTAGTTTTTGACATATAAAAACAATCGCGCACAGCATTATTTAAACGTGATATGCTGTGCATTAAGCTCTCGTCATTAAAATTTGAGTGGAATCTATTCAAAATTTGTGCAGCCTTAAATCGCCAAATCATTGTCAATAAGAACATTTTCATCCAGTTCTTCCTTTGAAATGGGTGCCGATAATTGATAAATACATACATTTCTAGCATCGTCGCTTAATACTTAATTTTTTTGGCACTGTTTCGCTCTATTTTTTTTCGGCACGTCGCAATAGCCGGTTGAATTGTGAAAAATATCGTCGGTATAAGCGGTTTGTCGCTAAAAGCGGAGAAGTACTAAGCGAAAGCCCTTTCATATTAGTTTGTATAGGGACCAACCAAGTCATCGAATTTTCGTCGCTATGATCGGACGGACGCTATAAGCAGAGTCGTTATAGCAGGACTCCACTGTAGTTATGCGTCGTGGAAAGCACAGTAGTGAAGAAAAAAGCCAAAAGGCTCAGAGCGTTCATTTTGGAAGAAAAAACCTATTCTAAGGTGGTGCCAATTGTCGGTTGTTCTCATAAAATGATTTACAGTGCTTTGAAATACAACAACAAAAGACAACAATTTCAATTCAAAGAGATCCTTTTCCTTAAGAGATTTTAATTTGTTCAAAAAATGAGCATGTATCCACTTTTGCAAGTTTCAAATTTTTTTACTTTAATAATTTTTAAAAAATATTTGTTTCAAAGGGCCTTAGCTTTTATCATATTCCGAATTAGTATTGGCATACTCCCGACTAAATTTAGTAGGTGCTGGCAAGGTATCATGCGCCACTCCGACCTCACGTGCTCTCAAAGACTCATCCAATCCCTTTGGTGCAGACTCGTACTTTTCCAATGTTTTTTAAACAGAAATCGATTTTTCAATGGGATTTATATCTGGGCTATTCAGCAGGCCACTGGATTAAGTGATAACTCGAGTTATTGGGACGATTTTTCACGAACTTAGCCGTGTGGGTCCGGCTACCATCTTGCTGGAAAGTGATCTCGGATATGGGGAAGATACATTTGTCTATAAAATTTGACAAAATGGGTTCCAAAATATGAAGATAATATTTTTTCTTCAATATTCCATCGATTTTAGCCAATTGGAGAAATGTATAATAAAGGTTACAAAATAGACCGTTAATCGATAGTCATCTTTCTTATAGAAGGAAATGTTAAAGGAAAACATAACATATACAAATTCAAAAAAATACCAAAAAGGGATCTTTTGCTTATTTTAATAGGTTTTCAGATCATTGTTACTGAAGATTGAAATACATATGTCAATTGGTTAATTAGCTTAATTTACATATTCTTCGAAAATAATATCGGGACGGAACTATATAGAAACGAGGAGGAAAGTTTTGAGTTGCTGATGCGATCGCAACTCTACATACTACCCGATACAGCAGTATACAGACTTCTGTGATATGTCACTGTTACAAGTATATTTCAAAACATCGCCCCGCCCACTTCCTCCCCCACAAAGGACGAAAATCTGTGGCATCCACAATTTTAAGGATACGAAAAAAACCAAAAACGCAGAATCGTCGAGAATGACCATATCTTCTAGAACGCAAAATCTGAACCAGATCGTAATATTATTATAGCCAGAATGAAGAAAAAAATTTCATTATCTCGCTCTGTGTCTCTCTAACACACAGTTCTCATGGTCGGTTTTGCCTATTGTAAAAAGTGAGCGCATAGATCTCAGAGACTATAAAAGCTAGAGCAACCAAATTTTTGATCCACACTCCTGACATATCGGACCTTGACAAGTTAGTTTCAAAATTTCGCCACACCTCCTTCCGCCCCCGCAAAGGACGAAAATCTGGGGCATCCACAAATCTCAGAGACTATCAAGGCTAGAGTAACCAAATTTGGTATCCACACTCCTGTTCGATCTCACTATAAAACGTATATTTCAAAGTTTCAAAACAACCCACAGATTTTCGTCCTTTGTGGGGGCGGAAAGGGGTGGGGCGAGGTTTTAAAATATTCTTGTAACAGTGACATATCACAGAAGCTCGGATATAAAATGTCATTGCTCTAGCTCTTATAGTCTTTGAGCACTAGGCGCTGATAGGGACGGCCAGACGGACAGACAGACATGGCTCAATCGACTCGGCTATTGATGCTGATCAAGAATATATATACTTTATATACAGAGAATGAGTAAGCTGCGTGGCCACGCTACATAGACACTGAAATTCAATTCTTTCCGTCTGGCTATAATAATGATCCGATCTGGTTCAGATTCTGCAGTCAGGAAGATATGGTCATTCACTATGATTCTAGTTTCTTTTGACTTTCTCGTAGCTTCAAATTGTGGGTACCACTGATTTTAGTCGTTTGTGAGGGAGGTAGAAGGCGTGGCAAAATTGTGAAACAAACTTGGTTCAGTGTGAAATGTGAACTGTGAAATGTGATAAAATTTCGTTTCTCTAGCTCTTATAGGCACTAAGAACAAGGCGTTAAACAAATCTAGTATACCCCTATACCCCTCTTTTTAGTATCGGGATCGGGAAATTGGTTCGAGAACAACTCACTAATATAATGGATTGGTCTGTTCAGTCCTCAAATTGGAAGCCCATTGCAAACATTTGGGGGAAGTTTAAAAATATGGTATTAATGCGAAACCAAAGAACAATAAATATCTTTGGCGTATCCTGCATGATTCGTGGCTCAATATCCCAATATCCCAATATCCCAATATCCCAATATGCCAATATCCCGTAAGATGCGAACATCAGATGAATCGATTTTTTTTTTTGTTGCCGCCTTAGTTTCTGAATAAATCCTTTTCACTTGAAATATTTTCATCTGAAGTTAACTTAAGCCTTACAGTTTTACCATAGATCCGTTCGCAAAAGTACATAAAAACCGTTGTTTAATCAGAAACCATCAATACAGACACATTTGTATTCTGGTACTATTTTTTCGCCGCAGCTGACATGTTCCGTGTGGTATGGGCTTGTTAGAGAAAGGGAGTGGCGGAGTGTCCCTTGTCCCGAATGTGAATGGAGTCGCTCCCAGTTTGTATATTTGTGGTTTTCATTCTTATGAAAATTGCATCACTATTTTGTTTTCAAACATTCAGGCATTCTTCTTGGGAGACCCGCCAAGGTCTGGTCTGTGAGCCGTTTCACTTTGTAATATTTAAATTAATTCGAATTAATTCTTTGATTTATTTTAAAGATCACTAAGAACGACACGTTGCCGCAGCAGGTCTGCGTAGACTGCGCCAAGACCGCGGTCTCGGCCTACCTGTTCAAGAAGAAATGCGAGGATGCGGACAGATTTTACCGTCAGCAACTGTTACTGAAGAAGATCCACGGTTTGGAGAAGCAGGAGACGGGAGGAGAAACTAGGAAAGATGCTGCCAGCGGGGACCGGGCCAAGAGCAGAGGCTGCAGCACTGCCAGCAGCAGTGGCACCGCCAGTGGCAGTACTACCGGTAGCGGAAGCAGCTCCTCCAGTACCAGCTCCGACGATGACGAAGAGGAGGACAACGACAACGCAAATGCAAATGCCAATCCCAATCCCAATCCCAATCCCAATGGCAATGACAATGATAATGGGAGCGTAGCTGGAGACGCGGGGTCGCGTCTACAGAATGGTCATGGAGATGCCATCAATGGGCACCTGGTCGAAGATCCCAATGATGAGGATGTGGAGCAGGGGGAACTGCAGTTGGTCCTGGATGATCGGCAAAGGTCTCTGTTCGATGACGAGCAGCAGGATCAGTCTGGCATCGAACTCAGCAATGGGGTGGCGCTGGCGGATGGCGAAGAGGATTTGGAGGTGATGACCCATGAAGAGTCACCCGACCATGTCGACGATGGCGAGATACCCGTCCACGACGGCCACTCCAAGGAGCCGTTCGACTTCAACTCCATTCGCCTGATGCAGGAGTATATGCAGCACCAGATGAACAAGTTCCCTAACGGTGGCGCCGGTTTGCCTGGTCACGATCTAGATCTCGACCACCAGCTCGAGGTGGATGAGGATGACGATGACGAGGAGATGACACTGCCCCTGATTCCAGAAATCGAGCTAATTACGCCCGGCGATGATTCTATGATCGGCCCAGACGGCGCCGACCACTCAGAGGCCATTGTGGCGGCCAATGAGGCTGGACAGGTAATGCGCGTGCAAGGATTCCAGTGTCCGCACTGCTACCAGACCTTCGACATGAAGCAGATCCTGAAGGCGCATATGCAGAGTGTCCACGGCGCTCCGGGGCCCGTCTACGAGTGCAGCAATTGCCGCAAGACCTACTTTTACAAGCGATTCCTGGAGAAACACATCCGACGCGGTCGCTGCGTGAAGAAGCGGCGCAACCAAACGTAAGTGGCAGCCACGTGCTGGTATTCGAATTCGAATTCTGATAATAATCTGCGTCTCTCTCTGGTTTTAGTCGGCCCATGCAATGTTCGGACTGCCATGTCCTCTTTCCCACGGGCCACCATCTGGGCTGGCACAAGCGCACCGGCTGTCCCTCCAAGGCGGCCAAGATGTTAGTGGTTCTCCAATCGCCTGTGCTAACTGTACTGACTCCCGTTTTCCCTTGTACCCGCAGGCCCCTGCAGCAGCTCTTTAAGCAGAACATTGTGCAGTTTAACAACTTCCCCAAGCGGGTCCCAGCCTCTGGAGGTGGAGCAGGAGCAGGAGCAGGGGCTGCACGCAAGCCCACAGCTCCGGATCTCCACGTGAACAACCGCAAGTGAGTGGGAGGATTACTAATTACTAATCTGCACACACAGTTTCCACTGTCATTCCCTGACCATCATTTTTCGCTACCTTTCAGGCTGGGCTTGGTTAACAAGCGGAAGGGCCGTACCCGTATTAAGCTAGACGCCAAGAAGATCGCCCTGGCCAAGCAGCTGATCCTGCGCGAGGCCACCACCACGGTGATCGCCAACGAGCTGAACATCTCGCGCACATTTGCCTGGCGTCTGCGCAAGAGCCTCGTTAACGGAGTCAGTCTGCACGAGCGTGTGGTGGACCAGGCCGCTGAAGAGCAGCTCCATCAACAGCAGCAGCATATCCAAGCGCTCCAGCAACAGCAGCAACAGGAAGAGGCTGCAGTCGCCTCGGCAGCTGCAACCGCAGTTGCAGTTGCAACCGCAGCAGCTGAGCGGGAGCGGGAGCGGGAGCATCAACATCTGAGTTTGCCCTTTGGCCACCTCGGCCTGGGCCTGATCAAGGAGGAACGACAGGACAGCGAGGACGAGGAGCAGCAGCAGCTCCACCTCCAGCATCAGCACCAACTCCACAACTCGCTGGCCTTGGGCGACGAGTGCGGGGCGGATGAAATTGGTGCAGAGGAAACAGCCGGCTACATGGGCGACGAGGATGCCGTGTGCAGCCTGCTCCACAATGGGTATGATATGCGTGGTCAGCTGGAAGACCCTGATCCCGACTCTGATCCCGTCGAGCACGACCCCTACGAGGGAAACGAGAACGAGCGTCATCCTAATGCGGGCGGGGCCAACTCCGTGTCGCCCCCGCCTCCACCGTTGGCCCCAGCTCCAGTCCAGGTGCCAGTGCATGTGCCCTCGCGACCGACTGTCGAGGTGTACAAGCGTTTGCTGGCCGAGTCGCAGCACTTTCCACACATCGTCAACGCCCAGCAGTTACAGCTACACCAGCAGCAACAGCATCGGGAGCAGCTACAGCATCAGCAAAAGCCAGCCCACAATGGAGGATTGCCGATGCTCACCCGCTTTCCGCCCGCCGTCATGTAAGTCACAATTTTGCATCTGGAGCATAAGATGAGATGAGCGCGCAGGAAGAAGTAAGAAAAAATGTTGAGGAATGAAAAGCATGCGTGCAGATGAGAAACAATGAGCTCGACTAGGGGAAGTAAATATATATAGGATACAAATATATACATATAATAGACATATATAGAGAGAAGTAGAAGACAAGCAAACAGTAGCAGTAGCAGAACCAAGCAGAGCAGACCGTGCTCTGCATCTCTGTACAAGCAGTTCAAGGAAGAAGTGCAGAAAAACCAAAAAGTTAACGCCAAAAAGAGAGACCTAAAGCAATGAACGTCCCCCAGCTTAATTATGCATTTTTTTTTTTATTGTTATTGTTATTTGTTATTGTTATAATTGACAAAATGGAAGTAAATACATCTTAAAATTGCGACAGCATAATTAATATACAAAATTAGTTGAGGTGACTTTAAAAACAAACAAATATTTTAAGAACCAGAAGAACTTTTAAGATCTTGTGGGTAATGCTCTTTATACCCGTCGCTCAAGGAGAACAGGGGTATATTCGATTCATGAATGTGTATGTAAAGTACATACATATGTACATGAATATTCTTGATTCGATATAGCCATGTCTGTCACCTGCACCGTCCCCTGGAAAAACGCAGTCATAGGGCAGCATGAAGAAAATAAAATAATATATCGCAATCAATATAACACGATATGAAACACGCAACCAGTTCCTTGTGACCTTGAGACTGAGAAGGGCATCTGATGGCTCTACTTTCTGGCAGCGGGAAATCGGATAAAGATTTCTTATAGAATATGTACATGTTTGTGTTTTTCACGATGAAACAAACGAGCTGTGAGTTGTATAACACAGATTAGGGAGTTATAGCCTGAAAAAGTAGAAAGCTGCAGTTTCCCGCTAGAGACAACCATCTTCTGCCAAAAAACAATGTGGTTTAATATACATATGTATGTACAGTCATCAGTACAAATTAGATACTAGTCGCAAGAAAGAGAAGAAGATTGCAAGATATACATTATTGTCACACATTTTCATCCACTAAAAATCGAATATACATATGTACGGGTATAAAAAGTACTAATTGTAATACGAAGAAACTCTTCGATGCTAAAACTGCTTATTGTTTCTATTCATTATAAAATGTACATACCTATAATCAATATCTACCGTATTAGAATTAAAATTTTCCTCTTCCCGGTGCAGCCATGCCCTTCCCGTGAACCTCTCCCTACGTTCCATGGCCCACATGAACAGCAACGAGAGGTGAGACAACAGTCCAGTTTCCGTCAGGGACTCCCGCTAATAGATCCTCTCTTCATCCCCGCAGCAATGGCAGCAACAGCAGCAACAACACCGTCGCCGTCACAGCGCCCCATCCAGGCGCGACTGCAACGCCAGCGTCAGCGGCTGGTTCTGGTTCTGCGAAGAAGCCACGCAAGCCGAACGTCTTCATCGATGACGAGAAGTACGCCATGGCCAAGCTTCTTGTGGCCCAGAACTCGTCGACTATGGAGATAGCCCGAGCGCTCAACGTATCGCAGATGACGGCCTGGAAGGTGCGCGATGCAATACTAAAGGGCGTGCCCCTTTCCTATCGCAACAAGCGCACCGAAGGACGTCATTCAGCGCTAGGCGACGATGCGCGTCAAACGGATGTGGCATCCGCCAAGGAGCAGCATGCTCAGCAGTTGGCCCAGGAGCAGGAACTACAGCAGGTACACCAGCATCAACAGGCACTGCAGCAGGCAGAGCAAGAGCGGCAGGAGCGTCAGAAGGGGCTGCAGCAGGAAATGCAGCGACAACAACAGCAGCAGCTTGAGCAGATGGAGCGCATTAAGCAGCAGCGCCAACGGCAGGAGCTGATCCGCCAGCAACAGCAGCAGCAGCAGCAGCAGCAGCAACAGCAACAGTTGCGTCTTCAGACGCCAGCGGACACATCACACTTTCAACAGCAGCCCCCACAGCAGCCTCAACAGCAGCAGCCACAGCTTCCGCTTCCGCGTCGCCGCCTGAAGGCTGCCGAACGGGAGCTTCGGGATAAGAATATCACCCGGGAGATACTCGAACTGATCGAAGAGGATAGCAACATCCAGTACTGGAAAGTTTCAGCCCGCCTGGCCGAAAAAGGCATCAACATTTCGCCATCATCCGTCTGCCAGAAGCTCAAGTCGATGGGTATTCATCGTCGCTGGAAGCCAGGCGACAAGCCCTCCATGCTGGCCATCAGCCAGATAAAAGCGGCCACAGTTGCAGCGGCGCTTGCCGTCGGAGGAGTGGGAATGGGCGTGGGTGCCAGCAGTGGAGTGAGTAGCAGCCACAGCTTTGTCGGAGTCGATGATGGATACGAGCAGCAGCAGTTCGATATGGGCGGACCACATTTTCTCAGTGCCTTCACGCGCTGAATGAATAGAGCACAGGCGCAATGTCACCCCCTGGCACCTCCTGGCATTCTCTGTACACAGGCACAACTGCACTGCGCCCCATAATTTTAGGTATTATAAATCTTGGATAGATCGGCACAATTTGTATTTTTTATAAAGTATTTGAGGGAGAGATAGAGGATCGCTCTCTGTAATATAAAATTGTATTCAATATGAGATATACATAGATATATACATATACGTGTAGATGTATAGGTAGAACTAGATATATATCAAAAATATATGGTAAGCATTCCTAGAATGTCGCGCAACCACTAATCAATCCACACACAGCCACACTTATGCACATAGCGTGTTCATTCCAGGAAAACCATTTCCGCGGTCCATGTGGTTTTCCAGGCATCTCCCTCTTGTACAGAGGGACACACATTTAGTTGTTAGTTTTGGTCACATATTATTTATATTCATTGATTGCATATCGCAGTTTGTGGGAAATGGATTCAAAGATTCGCATTGCAAATATTGCCCATTCATCAGTGGATTTCACCTACGCACGTATGCAATTTACTCAGCACTGAACTTTAATTTAGTTAAATTAATGTATAAAACAACTAAACGAATGACAAACAACAGCAGAACAACAGGAAACAGAACAAAGCAAATGAAAGCCGAACAAACAGCATCAAGAGACAAGAGTAGTAGAGAGTTATATAACGGGCAACACAAGAAAGCTAGCAACATAAGTGCAATTATAACAAAAATAACACTAAACTAAACATAGGAACACAGATATATGTATCTTCAAGATAATAACCAGGATGAGAACAGTAAAAAGCGAGGGAGGAAGAGAAAGAGAAGAGGATAGTCAATACAAATTCAAAACTTTCGCTAACCTGAAATAAATCCTTAAGCTCGAAACTTTGCTTTACTTTTTAATCAAAACGTATATAAAATTCGTTCGAAAAACATAATTCTATGTAAAATCTATGTACGAATCAGTTATCGATGATTAATGCAACCTTATGCGATGGCCATCACTAACTAACGTTCACTGCTTGCTTTAGGGTCGTATGAAAATAGACTTAGCTGTGTGTCTTATCTGAAAGACAGAGATAGTTTTACGGGAGTGAGAGTGAGAGAAATATATGCGTTAGTTTGGATTTTAGTTGATCTGGTGGCACAGCGGCAGAATTGGTAGACTGTTATACTTTTGCAGATATAAGTTGGCTAAAAAAAACGGATTGACCGGCTTTAAGACATCGTTTGGGCATACGATTTGGATACGATTTTAACCGTTATGTCTCGTGATATCTCTGTCTTTGGGATAAGACAGCTAGCTAAGTGTAATGTCATACAAGCATTGTGAACAAATTTACTACTAAATTAAAATTTCATTATTAATATCAATCAAAGTGAAATGATAAAAGTCGTGCTCGTTTTTATACGTTGGGAAAACAAAACATGATTGACGTTTGTGCGTTTGATTGGTGTAACATATTGAACATATTGTTAATTTAATTCAAAATTGTTCTTTCCAATTGTGCATACATACATACACATAGATATTTTGTTCCTCTGATGAATGGCATGCCACTTCCATGCATGCCACCTCCTCATATTTAAGTCAAAAATGTATGAAACAATATACTGCAGAATATCACTAACTATTCGTGAGCAGTTACAGTTAAAAATTTCAAATTAAAAAAAAAAAAACATTCTAAAAATCGATGTCGATGGCGTATATGTTACATGTTATAAAACTCTTTTTCAAAGTGTGAAGGCAATATAAAAACGCCTTTAAAAATTTCCCTACTTTCGGCATTTGTGTTGTTTGAAATTACAAATCAGACCGAAAAATTAGTGGGAACTACTCGACCAGGTCTACGATTTATACTATGCTGTAGGTCACATGAAAAGTACAAATCAGAAACACTTCCGAAAATATATTAAAATCAACTGCACTAACTTGCTTGAGAATTCCCCATTAAGCAATAAGCTATTTCCATGAATTGCTTGAATTTAGTGAATAATGTATCACTTCAGTTGTTTTTAAGTAAACCAATGGGATAATTGTGTTTCCTATAAGAGGTCCCTTGTTTGATTCTTGATACTGATCGTGGATCATGTGTAATCTGTAAACTGAATTCTTTACTACCTGAATAATATATAGCAGTATTCCCTATTGTATTTGTGTCTTTCCACTTTTGGAATATTGCAATTTGACTAGAGCACATTTTTAAAAACCGATTTGCTGGAAGGATTATCTTTATACGATACCATACAATAACTGTGATTAAGATTGTTTTTTTTTTGTATAAAATATGAATTGATAAAATGCAAATGGATTACACATTAATTGACCGTCTTAAAGTGCGAATTAAATATCTACTAGCTCGCAAAGAACGGCACTCAATATAAATAATTCTTAAAGCCATTCCATAGCAGGGATATACGTATGTATTATCTCATACCTGCTCTTTCTTTGCCCCCCATCGAACAAGACAGAATGACAATGTTAATATTTATAGGCAATTATTAGTTAAAAGAGTAAAACCACCACAAAAGAACAAAGCGAAACAAGAATCGTTGAAGGAAAGGAGCAAAGGGAGAAAACAGATTATGGAAGAAGTGCGATCCTGTATTTACTTATAGCTAAGCTTAGCAATTATATATTTTAAACATTTAAACATTATGGAATGATGGAGAGAGAGAGAGAGAAAAAGAGGGGGAGAGAGAGCGAGAGAGAGAAATAGGGAAATAGAGAAAGAACGCAACAGAGAAAAAGAGAGAGAGAGGATATAATATTGAATAGAGGTTTATATATATTTATGTTGACATATTTTTCTACAACAATTTGAAATTGTAATTGCTTTTAGGACAGCCATTAGCAATAAATCAATCAATCAATCACTCGATCAAGATCAATGAATGATTCCCTCCCACACATACATGCATACACATTTAGTATTTTCTATATACAGTCTGTATTTATACATGCATATGTCTATAAAAAACACTACATATAAGATCTACATTTATGTGCAAGTAAATGACTAAATAGAGTATACTTTGTTTTTTTTTTTCCTTTATGACTAAAACAATTATAATGCATATTTTTTGTATAAAATGCAAAAGTTAAAACTTTAATAAATGATAAAAAGTCTAAAGGTATATGAATACATACATACATACATCCATACATAAATATGATGTATTTATATGTTTACAATCAAGTATATTTAAGGATCCACTGGAAGCAGCATCAACAAATAGAACTGACGTGCCTATGTAGCGATTAAATCATACACATACCCCTAAACACATACAAAAAAAAAACCCCATGCCGAGAAACACTGATATAATGCATTAAAATTCATTCCAAAATGTCATACAAATGAAATGAAAAAAAAAAATAATATATTTGTACACATAAATCTAGCAGAATATATACATATATATATGATGAAACATGCCTCTATATATACTTATATATATTTTTTTATTAAATATTCCATTTGACAAGATTTGCGTTTTGCTTGGACCAAAATTGGTGACCCCAATGTAAACCCCTAATCAGGCCCCTCAGATCGGAAATCCTTCGAATTGGACCACAGGATATTCTTAATTGAATGCCGATTCATACATATGTACGTATGTACGTATATACGTATATACGTATGTATTTGAAGACTGTCGAAAAATGTATTAGTAAACTTTATATGTGTACATATATGTACATACATACATACAAATACAAACTATTGAATAGTTCTAAAAGAAAATCAATCAAAATAATTATATATTATATTAAAGAGCTCGGTCCAGAGCTAATGACCCCGATTGCATAAAAACCACTTGTCCGCACAACCACAACCGCTTGATGAGCCCTCGAATGTGATCCACTCGAGTTTATAAACTAAAGAATTCATGAAAATCAAAGGGGATGTCATCACCGCCCTATGGTGCCTATGGGCCCTATAGCAAAAGAGATTAACTATCGTGTTCATTCGTTCATCGTTCATTCTTTTAGACCGCTACTGTCAAAATTTTAGCCGAGTCGTAGTCATAGTTTTTAGACCACGTGTGGAAGCGGGCTTGTCAGCTGATTTTATGAAAATGGAAAAAGAGCAATATATGTACATAGGTCGGTGATTCGATTCTTATGCTTGGAAGGGAAATTGCACAGCGAAATCAAAGACACTTTGGATGCTGTGTACGGCGGCTCGCCTCCTTTGATGGCGACCATCAACAATTGGTTTAGTGAGCTTGAATGTGATCACATGTCGGTTTTTGATGAGCCCGAAAATGGCTACCATGGAGGACAACGTAACAAAAATCGACGATCTCGTATAGGCAGATCGCCGATTAAAGGTGCGTGAGATAGCTGAATCAGTAGCCATCTCAAAAGAACGCATAAGTCACATCCTGCATGAAAAATTGGGCATGAGAACGCTGTTCCTTTTGCCTTGTGTGACTTTTTATACCCGATACTCACAAAGAATATGGGCGTATATAAGATTTGTGGTGAAAATGGATGTGTGTAACGTCCAGAAGGAAACGTTTTCGACCCCATAAAGTGCATACATTCTTGATCAGCATCAATAGCCGAGTCGATTGAGCCATGTCTGTATGAGCGCCTGGTGCTCAGAGACTGTAAGAGCTATAGCAACGACGTTTTGTATCCAGACTTTTGTGATATGTCATTGTTACAAGTGTATTTACAAACTTTGCACCGCCCCCTACAAAGGACGAAAGTTTGTGGTATACACATTTTTGAATTCAGGAGAAATTCAAAAGAACAGAATTATACAGAATGACTATATATTCTAGACTGCAGAATCTGAACCAGATCATATTATTATTATAGCCAGAATTAAGAAAACTATTTCATTCTTTCTCGCTCTGTCTCTCTAATACACACTTTTCCTGGTCGGCTTTGCCTATTTAAACAAGTGAAAGCTTAGATCTTAGAGACTATAAGAGCTAGAGCAACCAAATTTTGACATTTTATTATAGACAAAAGTAACAAATCAATTTTCGGCCCGGCGACACGTTCTGACTGATTTTCTGTCCCTCTCGCACGCACTTTTTGTCGCTCAATGTACGCGCCATCTGCCGGAGGAGAGCCATACTGACTAAGTATCAGGTATAAATGTAGAGTTGCGGTCGCAGCAGCTACTCACAGCGTTACCCCTAGTTTTTATTTCGAAACTTGAAAAAGTCTCCCGTCGTACAGTGGGCGAAATGGCCAATCAGCTCCATTAAATTCAAAACTTCATGTCACAGTCTGTTTAAACTTTTGTGTGGTATCGATTCTCAATACCTCGATGAACTAATTGCCAATTTGTTTTTCTCTCATATTTCGTGAAGCTGTGAAGCGTCAAACCGAACATATGTTGCAAGAGCTGTTATGAACATCTTTTGGCGCCTTTTTTTTTAAGCTGGCAAAAATTTGTGAAAAAAGTAAAAAATCAAAGCGTAGTTAAAATTTATTCTGAACTATCAGTTTTTAGACTTGTAGCTATTTGGTTAGAGGTGTGTATGAGTTTAATAACATGTACTAGTTTAAAATAGCTGTGGAAGTGAACCTTTGGAAAAGTTTTGCTTAAAAAACATATTGCATTGTTTGGTGGAGTGCATCTTGTGAGATGGGTGCGATCTGGTTTCAATTATTTTTGATACACACATTCTCAAATTTATTGTGAATTTGGATGCCCAAATATTTCGATGCTTAATAATAATGATTATTCACAAGAACAACACAAAGAAATGCAAGAAGGATAAGAACTCTTGTAAGCACGTTGCTGCAAAAATGGGGAAAAATGTAATGGAACATTTTCACATTTCGAAAAGTGGTGGTGACAGAAATGCTTCTAAAGTTATATCATTGAAGAAGAGGTCGTGGCAAAAACAATAAA